AATCTCAGTGGTCAGTTGAGTGTTATAATGGCATACAATCGCTAAGATCTCTTTTACAAGAAAAACAAAGTTTATCATAGAAAAGATGTTCTGACTTGAAGATAAAATATATATTGAGAAAATACAGCACAGTGAATCCCTTGGTTACATTAAATTCTTAATATTGGTAATTTCATTTTGGCTTTATGCCTTTTTCCATATTTATTTTAAATATGCAAGTTACTTTTTAACAAATCCCTATTACTATTTAGTTATCGATGATGGTAAAAAAGATACCATTTTTTTAACAAGGAAAAAAACTGGGCATCTGTTTGACAGAAATGAGTACTTCAAGTACATAAGTAAATCATTAACAGACCTATTACACTCTAAGCAACAGCAGTAACAAAGAGCTAGAATATGCATTTTGTATAAAGATTAAATTTCACAACATAATAAATAAATGCACTGATTTATACAACTTGAGAAAACCTTCTACTGATGATCACAAGTAATACTGTCTTATCATTGACTTTGTTAATATCAGCACTGCCTCGCATAGAGATTCAAAGGTAAAATTCTTGCCCCCGAAGCCATAAAATATACAAAGCTGGTTTGTTATTAAATATTTTGTCTGCCAAAATTCCTGCAAACTAAAATACATCTTGGCAGTTTGAATAACCAGCATGATAATTATTTTGGTATCAAAAGATAAGAAAAATTTTAATATGAAAATTAATAAAACCAGTAAAAGGAGAAACCTGTTGTATAAATAGACATTTTAACATAAAAGTGAGACTTTTATCTCACTTGAGAGGAAGAAACAAATTCCATACAACTTACTTGAAGATCTGAAAATAATTATCATATTTCCCCAGCTCTAGATAAATATATTACTCCAATTTATTAGTCATCTTCAATATACAATATATAACTCACAAAACTGGGACGGTTACAATACCAAAATCTTTCACAGCACTAGTTACCAGTTACCAGAACTGTAAGAAATCTTAGCTACATATCAGCTTAATACTTAGAATATACAAATAGATATGGCTAAGCTGTGGTAAACAATAGTGCAAACAGTAAGGACCACAAAATATATTCTTTTTTCTCTTCAGCTTGTTTATGTAACTGCATTATCCTACTTCAACGGCATCATCAACTGAATATGGAACTTATCTTAATGCATTTTAAAAGTATCCCTATGTTCTTTTAGTTATGGTAAATTTACTCTTGAAATGCAGTTCCTATGAAATACCCAGACTATTTATAAAGTCCTATGCAATGAATAACTTGTAGCTAAAATGAAATGTTTTATGTGAACTTTTCTAGCTTTTAAGTAGTGGCTTGGTTTCTGTTTTTCCAACTTAAGCTTGGATGTGCATCAAAAATTGAGAGAAGATATAAATATGTGTAAATAGAATATCTTAGTTACATAAGGGGAATCAGTCTGTTCATCTACAGTAGTAATATAGGTTTTTATCTTAAACATTGTTACTGAGTTTAGTGCAGTTTCAGTTACTGTTAAACTTATTTTCCTGAAAATAATGGAAAGAAGTATACAAATAGGTACAGTCCAGCTGTCTTTTATCTCTCTGTTCTCTGTAATGATAAACCTTCATAGTTTTTCTGCTAACAGACATGTCTCTAAACGAAATTTGGAGACATTAGTAAGAAGAAGCAATAATAAAGGTAAAGAATGCTTTGGGTTTTAAAAAACTAATAATCATTGCCTTTTTAAAGTTTTGGTTGTTTCTTTAGGAAGGCATCCTACTGCAAAGGCATCATATTACCATCTGACACAGAGATCACTGCACAAAAGTCAAGGGGAGATGCCTAGCAGAGACAAACAAGTCCCAGGCCCCATGGCTCTCGGCAAGGGCAAGCCAAAGAGGGAGACGCATGGCTGCCAAGCACCATGAGAACCGCCAGGAAGGTTATTCCATTGACCAATAGTTAGTATTTGAAGAATCTTCACTGTTCACTCTTTCCAACTGATTTTAAAAACTTGGTGTTTTAAAACTGCCACTTGTATTATTATCAAACTCTGAACCCATTGTTTTACCCAACTTGAATCTGAAAAATGCAGGATGAGTTCATTCTGTGGGGAGAGGGCAGGGGAGATCCTAAACGTCAGGCTGAGAGATGTAATGTTTATGGAGCTTAGTGAAAAACTATACCCTTGAAGAATTTGCATCTGTATAACATGAAAGTCCATTGTGTTGGACTAAATAGATAATTTACTTCAAAAATGATGTGTATAGAGGTTTCCACTGTAATTTTCTAAGTCATAGCTTTGCATGAATATTTTCTTTCTCAAATCCTGTTAAAAATAACTTCTCTTAGGACTAAAATAGTGCCCTCTTTATTCCTTAAAATTAGCTAAAGAATCTCTAGGCAGTAATGTCTGGTAAATGATATCAGTATGTAAAAATGATTAAGTATTGACAATAAATCATTGGGAAAGATCATATTATAGAATTAAATAATTTGTATTTTAAGGATCAAAACTATGATACTTTGCAGGCACTACTTTAAGCAATTATTAAGTCTCTGAAAAATCAAGATAAGTTGGCATAATAAGAAAAACGAAGTCCAGCAAAACATGCCTTCTTTGGGGTGACACATTCAGTTTACTTGGAGTCATTTTGCTTCTTTCTTTTTTTTCCCATGCCTAGCGATTCATTTCATGTGCGTGTGCTGTTTGTATCCTCAGGCATGAACTATGTCAACAAGATAATCTAGTGATAAGAGAAAGTGAAATGTACAGTTGTAGGAGACTGACCCCGTCTTAACTTATCTCAGTACATAGTCTTCTGAAATGTTTCCTGTGACTTAAGTTGTGAACAAATAAGAATGCCATGTGAGCAAGAAACTGAGCAAATGTGGATTGTTAGTGACTTAGATGTGAGGTGGGGAGCTGGAGAAAGGCCAGCTATGTTGGTCAGCCAATCTCCTGTTTTATCTTAGCTACCAAAATATAACCCCTGAGTAGGCAGGGTTTATCTAGAACCAGAATCAGGAATAAGCATTGAGAAGAAAACTCAGTGAGGATGATGAGTGAGTTAAAGCTCATTTCTGGGATTTCTAGGAAGTAGTGGGTTGGGGAATAAGGGAATATTCCGAGGGCTTTTTGAAGAACTTGAATCCCTAATAGCTGGGAGGGATGAAAAGTGACTAGGCCAGTACTGATCACTGACAAATCTTGTTTAAAAGGAAGATAGAAATTTGGTAGGTTTGGAGTGGACCTGAGATTCCACATTTCTATAAGCTCCCAGGTGGTACAGATGCTGCTGGTCCGTGGACCACATTTGAGAAGCGATGATCTAGACCAGTGCTGTCCAGTAGAATTTTTGCATTGATGGAAATGTTCAACATCTGTACCATCTACTATAGTTACTGAGCACTTGGAATGTGGCTAGTGCACTTGAGAAACTTTCTAATTAGATCAATGTAAATTTAAATAGCCACATGTGGCTAGTCCCTACAATACTGGACAGCATGGGTCTAGACATTCACAGGTCATATCTTCTCAGCCAGAGCAATCTATATCACAGTCCCCAAAGTATCTAACTCACCAGTTTATTTAGATTAGCAGGTTTCCTTTTATACAATGCAAACTGTAAAATTAGTTTTTTTTAAAAAGATTTTATTTATTTGACAGAGAGGGACACAGCGAGAGAGGGAACACAAGCAGGGGGAGAGGGAGAGGGAGAAGCCGGTCTCCTGCCAAGCAGGGAGGCTGATGTGTGGCTCGATCCCAGAATCCCAGGATCACGACCCAAGCTGAAGGCAGAGGCCCAATGACTGAGCCACCCAGGAGCCCCTCAAATTAGTTTCTTTAAATTGTTTTCTTCCTAACACTTTGCTTAGATGACCCATAATGGGCACTTAAGTAGGGAGAGGTGAAAGGAGTCCTTTTGCGGTGGGAGAGTTGCTGAAGAAAGGGTCACACATGGCAGTGAGGATCTGAGCAACCATCACAGTATTGGGCATGTGGGAGATGGGAAGCCAGGAGGTGGGAAGGGAACTCACAAAGGGAGGTGGAATAACACTGAAGGGAAAAATGGAATACTTTAAAATTTTACTTAGGTCTGACCCTGTCCCTTTCCTCCTTGAAATGCAAGTTCTGGGGCACCTGGCTAGCTCAGTTAGCAGAGCATGGGACTCCTGGTCTTGGGGTTGTGAATTCAAGCCCCACGTCGGGTGTGGACATTACTGAAAAATAAAATGTTAAGAGCGCCTGGGTGGCTCAGTCGTGAAGCGTCTGCCTTCGGCTCAGGTCGTGATCCCAGGGTCCTGGGATCGAGCCCTGCATCTGGGCTCCCTGCTCCGCGGGAAGCCTGCTTCTCCCTCTCCCGCTCCCCCTGCTTGTGTTCCCTCTCTTGCTGTGTCTCTCTCTGTCAAATGAATAAGTAAAATCTTTTTAAAAAAATCTTAAAAAAAATATATATATAAAGCAAATTCTTCCTCAGAAGAGTAAGACTGTAGGGGAATGGATGTCGGCTGGGCTCTGATTCCCCTTCACCCTCCCAAATTATCCAGGCGTGGGAGAGCCTAGCGGCAGGACGGTGCAATTAAAGCGGGCAATCCGGAGCAGGTTTAAGCTTCTCACCTCAGTTTAGGAATGGATCAAGGTACAAAGGCCCCATCTGCACTCCCCTGAGCTGCGATCAGATTCCAGAGAGCAGCTCTTCCTACTTTTTATTCGTGGCCCCATCAACTCTAAGAAGCTGCTCCTCTGTGACGCTGACAGGAGCCTGAGGAGGCTCTGAGGACGCCATCTTGGCAAACAGACGTGAGTAAGGTCACCTGGGTCCACACCAGCCACGCACAGACAAAGCATACAGGAAAAATCGCTCTTATTTAACAACAAAAAAGAGAGCAAAATTGTCATTTTAAAGGATTTCCCTCATCCAAAAGCCATCTGCAAGAAAATGCTAGTTAACCAAAGAGTCCATTAATGGAGGTGTTACAACATAGATAAAAGTTATTACCTAGGAGTAAAAAGACCAACATCAAACAAAAAATTTAATCATTTACATCTTACTCAAATTCTGAACATGTAATACCTTAGATCTTTTCTAGTGGCAAAGGGGTATTTTGGGCGAATGGAAATCAATAAAGATTTTTATATTAGCTACTTCTTCTCTAGAGTTCCTTGCCTCTTTGCCCCTACCTTTCTTTTTTTGGCCGAGCTGGTCAGGGATCTGTGATCTCATAGCTGAGTTCCAAAGAGAGGCTGGCATCTGTCTTTTAATTCTACAGGGAAATGCCTGGAAAAGCAGGACCCCTTGCAGGGGATGGGCAGATGGGGGCTATAAAGGGACTGGAAAAGAAGCCCTTTGATTTCATAAAGTGTAGATAACATTCCAATATAAAGTGAGTAGCTTTTGACTCTTTCACGCTACTTGATATAATTCCCTTTGGAAAATTTCTATTTATTCACAACTTAAACAGGTAAAATATATAGTCAGACATATTTGGTCAGGAACTGATCAGGCTCATTTATTTTTAAGATATCCAAATTTTGTGATTTTTTTTCTTAGTAGTTAAATACCCAATTTATGAATAAGAATAAAGTGTCAAATATTTAAACTCCTTTGCTATAATTAAATTATATGTCTGACAATGTCCATTTTAAATGCTTTCCCACTAATATTTCTCATTAAGCATTTGGCAAATAATTGTCTAGAAAATATCAATATTTCAAGATTATGCATATGTAAGTGTGAATGTACATGTATATGCATATGTGTGTGTATGTGTATCTATTGAGCACCTACTTAGAAGGCTACTTCATGAAAATTGTCACCACTGGGTCAATACCCTGTTTTCTTCTCTTATATAATAGATTTTTAAATATTATAATTAATTTTTGGTACATATGTCTAAAGAAATATTGTTTAAGGATATTTTTGTGACTTTTTGACACGTGCCTTTGGCTTTCAAAGATTTGGTAATTGTAATGTTGACTCCTCATAAGCTTACACTGAAGTATAGTGGTTTAGAAAAAGGAAAATAATATCTACCTGATATAAGAATTAAGTGAGATAATAATAATAATAATAATAATAATATAAAGCCCTTAAGAAAAAATTTAAAAATTTAAATTTCTTGTTGAGTTGTGTCAGTAGTCACTCCAGCTAGTGGGTAAGTCTGGGTGACCAATCAGTATACAAATCCCAGTTGAGACCTTGGGGAAACTCCTGGATGTCAACAGCCCACTATATTATAAATGCTAACAGAGTATTAAATAAACACTAAATTAAAGCAAAAAAACCCCCACAAAATGTGGGAATTTTGGTTTGGGAAGCTATAATAAGTTTTGTTCGGCAACAGAACATGTAATTTTATAAAAATATCCAGAGATTTTCTTCATGTGCATGTCTACTGTTGATGATATAGAGTGACATCAAATTGACTTGCATAAAATGTGTATCATTTGTTGATTATGGCACAGACACCTGGTCACAAATTCTTAGATACAGCATCTATCCAAAATCCCACATCAAAGAACAGACAAGTGCCTTGAACCAACAAAAGGGTACTTCGGTAGTAATAAATTAAATTCCATTAAAACTGACATGAAAGCTAAGTTTTACGAGATTACATGTGACATGCAAGAAAAAGAAAGACCATTCAGGCAGGAATGTCGTGCATTAAGATTTGCATTCATTCATAATATTTGAGGGGTTTCAACCATTTTCTATGACCACTGAATGCTAGGAATCTGAGGTGACACCCAATCTAACATTCAAAACACAACCTAATTTATATCTTAGTCTCCTAACCAATGATTTTAAGGAAGAAGCCAATGCCTCCAATAATGAAACCTAAGAAGTTTTAGCCACATATTGTTATGCAGTCACGTAGTAAGAACATTCCATCTGACCAGGTTTAAGGAAAGTCAAACGTAAGTAAACGTTTCCACCTTTCAGACAATGCAATTGTCTCGGATTCTTCCTACCTTCTTACTAATATGAGCATATTTGAACACGTCAAGTTTGCACAATAAGAAAATGGCTTTGTGGAATGTATTATTTGGCACAAAAATATTTTCTAATACCTCAAATGAAAATTTTCACCCACAGCAAAATATCAAGCCATAGAGGTGCTTCCCTGGTGCTTGCTTTTCTAGGCAGAAAAGGACAGAAACAGACAATTGCTTCTAAGAGCTTTGATTAAGTAGCAATTACTTCCCTTCCAAGGAATAGCACCAGCATGATTACACCTCAGACTGGGGAGTGCTCCTTCCAAGCTCTTTAATTCCCTGGAGAATTCGCTTCATATGACCCACTTTCGTTATCCCCAGGTCCTAAAAAAAAAGAAAGAAAAAAAAGAAAAGAAAAGAAAAAGAAGAAAAGGTGGGGGGGGGGAAGGAGAAGGAAAAGAAAGAAGTTTATTGACAAGAGAAAACTGGGGATTAAATATTTCACTAGCAAATAGTATAATTAGCATTCAGTTCGCTTAGTTTAGTTTCTTTTCAATGACTTAGGAAGTATAAGCTATGAAAATCAGTTTATAAAGCGAAACTAACCTGCTACTGAGACATTACCAACCAGTAAAAAAAAAAAAAAAAAAAATCCTATACAAACTCTTAAATGTAACATTCTCAGAAATTATACACAATGGCGGTTCTTCAAGAGTCAAAACCTCCTTTTTACTTCTGCTTCTTCTTTTTTAAAACACAAGTCCTTTTGGGATCTCCAAGAAAAGTGACAAGGAGACATCAGGGCAGCCGCAAGTAGTCTGAAGGCACTTCCTTCCTAAAATAGTAAACTTAAAAGTAAAGCCTAATCCTAATGACAGAGATCAGTGGCCACCAGCTAAAAATGTCAATGCATTTCTGGTTATATTTAGAGCTTTCAATTTGAGCGGACTGTTTAAATATTCGTTCTACTTTGTAAGGCAGAAGTATAAAAAATTATTTCAACCTAGCTATCTGTGGGTTGATGCTTTTCCACAGAACCCTCCTTGTTTCTTATGGGACCATCTTCCTTTAAAGGGCCAAGAATTCAATATTTAGCTTTCAGCATGGAGGAGGATTCCAGACTGTAGAGCGCACATCAGGCACTCGGCAAATAAATCCTTGTTGCAGGAATGAAGGAGATGCATACAAGAAAGCCATGACATTCACTACCTGAAAAACTAAAAGAAAGGGTGAAGGCCTCTGAACCCTATAGTTTCTCTACGTGTAATGGGCATAATCAATTGGCTAATACGTGAAGTCAAACCAATTCTGTATAAAAAAGAGAGGGCTTGGAATATCTGAAAATTAGCAAAAAAATGGCTTCCAAAGCAGCCTTGAAAACAGGATTATAAGGTACCATAAAACTATGTGTCTGAGATGATAAAGATTCCAAATATCCATTCTATTTCATAAGCTAAGAGCATTATTTATTTTTAAGCTTTAAGTGAAATAGATCAGACGACTGTAAGCACACTCTCACACCCGTGCTCTCTCTTCCATATACTTTACGGGCTCTTTAAATTCTATAGCAGCGATGATACGGACAATTCTTTTTTTCTACTGACAATTTTGAATCTTTCTGGAAAATACTCTTTCTACAGCAAGTGCTCTCGTCAAGCTTGAAATAATTTCTGGGTCACATTTTTACAATATGCAACAGACTCTGAAAAATATTTGCTCATAGGACACCAGGCTATTCATAACCAGTTTTAAGGCAACTATATATTTCCTGAGTGTATGCTGACATAGCAAACTTAAAAGCAAGGCCAAATCCTAAAGAAAGATAGCCCGCGCCTGCTACCGAACTCTGAAATATAAATGCATTTACAGTTGCATTTAGATTCTTTGATTTGAGTGGGATATTTTAATATTCTTTCTGCTTTGTGATAACATAATTATCTGATTAAGAAACACAGTTAATATTAAATATTTTATTTCAGGCCATATGCACGTTATATTTTCAAGAATAAAAACTTCTTCAGGAGAAGCAGACTCTACTCAGAATTACCATTTTGGTGTAATGAGATGAATATTTTCCACAGAATTACACTAACTTCTAGCTATATTTTCTCTATCTTGAGTTCAATACCTTCATGTCTTCTAGGAGTTAGGCTGTGATAAAGTTATGCCATGACATCTGTTATATCTTTCTTAATTTATCTTTATCATATTCTTTATTATGGGCCTTTTCTTTCTTTGGATGGCCAGGTCTAATTTTGCAGAGACATGCTTTGTAGATACTCTGTTATCTTACTAGCCATGCATATGCAACTTTCCAAATGAAAAAAAAAAAAAAAACCCAACTACACAAACAAAACCATTGCGTCTTTGCCATTGTCTTTGGTGCCCCTCACATTTGCCTATGGTCTTCCTGGAAGGAGAATAATGCAGTCAGTTTATTTATTTCCTAAAGCACCTCAGAAATATTTTTCCTTTCTCACCTTAACACTGTCACATTGCTATCTCGAGTTGTCTTGCTGATAAGAAAGTAACACCTGAGCCAAGATCTGAGCAGGAGTAGGCCAGGTGCCGGGTAGTGGGAAATATATACCGTAGGAAGGTGCACCTCTAAAGGTGAGGAAAAGTCTCGTATTTTTAAGCAAATGGACTATGGCCAGGGTGGATGGGGTACAGCCCAGCGAGGGGCCAGTGATTCCACAGCAGGTTCCATAAATGGGCAGAATCTTGAAGACCTCCCCAAAATGCGAGTCTTTATTCCAGTAAAGTGGGAAGTAACTGAAAAGTGATCTATCTGATGTTAAGAGATCACTCTGGTTGCCATGTGGGTAATGGGCTAGAGAGAGCAAGGGTAGCAGCGGAAAGGCCAGTTAGGAACTCTGGTCTCACACGGGCGAGCGGTGCCCTAGCACCCAGTAGGAGTGTGGAAAGCAGAAAGAGAAATGGATGGAGTTTAGAAACCTGGCTCAGTGATGGGCTTAATGAGTTAGGGGACCAGGATAAGGGAGAGGAAGGCGCTGAGTATGACCGTGGGCTTCTCTGGCTTGAGTGCCTGGAAGGAGAGAAGGTTGATTTTACGAAGATATCCCCAGAACAGAGGTTTGGGTGTTGACATGTTAAGACTGACTCCCCCTGTGTGATAGGCAACTATCAAGTAGCATTGGTAATAAAATCCTAAAGCTCCCAAATGAGGTCAGGGCTGGAGGTACAAACCTGTGAACCACGGACATCTTTACGGACCGTATTTGCAGCAATGGGAGTGGACAGGGTTACCCAGGGAATAGGTGATCCTTTAGCAACACTTAAAGACTTGATTCTGAAGAGCCTGCTCCCTCTTATAGCTACAACCAGAGATCCAGGGGAGCTCTTTTACTACCTTCATGGCTTTGTTCTATAGCAGGCTCTTTCCGAAAAATTATCTTCCTTTTTTTCATTCCCCCATGCCCCATTTTAGAACGAAAAAAGTTAAAAAGGACGATGTCAATGCAAATTTCTGAAAGAAAAGTTTTAAGGGAAAGGATGTAATATGCATTAAAAATAAAAACAAAGGAGAACAAAAAGTCCCATGATAAAGCTAAAGAGAAAGTTTACGAAAATAATTCTTAACCATTTCCTTTTTACTCATACTCTTTCTTCCAGCCAAGTCCTATCACTCTAACTCTCCTATGTGTATGAGCTTTGTTTTTCCATTCTGCAGATATTTGCTTTACTCATTGTGTATGTGTGTGTATGTATTTGTATGTTTATGGTTGCATGTACATATATAACATATACATATATAATTATATATACACACACGTTCAGTCTTTTCTTGAATTTATGCTTATTCATGGCAAGTGAAATGTAAGCTCCTAGAGAGGCTGGCAATAATATATCTATCAGTAGCTATTCAATAAATATTGCTGCCTGCCAAGGATATAAGAAGCTACATAAATATGTTGGATATAATGATCCCCTACATTTATTTTTTCGTGCACTCATTCCAAGTTTTGAAGTCAACCTTTACTCTAGGAACTCTAGCCCTGTATATTTTGCTATTTTCCAGATTTAGGACTCTCAACTGCGGTAATTAATTAATCTATTATTTTATTATCCTGGTTAAAAATATTTAGGTAGATGTGGTGTCCACTTTTAATGTGCCAAAACTGTATGACTCTGCTTTATAAAATCCTATATATTACTCACTAATTGTCCAAAGATCTCTGCCAACACATTTGTAGATAAAGGCACAACAGTTCATGAATTTGTTAGGAATTCACTGTATCATAATTCTGTGCAATTCAGAACTTGGTCTACAGGAAAGAGATCACTCCAACATATGTTAAAGGCTTTGTCACTTGCTCATTACTCAATCTTGGAATTTTAAAATGGCGGTGTTTGGTAAGAAAATCCAACATGACAAAATCATACTTGTAACCTTGGGATAGAATAGTCTACTTTGGCCATGTTGAGTCTCCACCCCCCAAAATAAAAGGGAATTGCTTCAGACCATGAATTAATGATTTTCTTTCTCTGAAATAAATGCCAAATAGGCTCTAAGCTGCATTCTAGCAAAAGCGAAGCATAATTTTTACTTCATTTACTAAAGAAAATAATAAATTTTTTGAGAATAATACAATCATAACAGTAAGTCACGGAGAGGTCTAGTTGTTCACGTGAGCTCTGAAAGGGCAGTCAGAAACACAACAAAATCATAGGACCCTCAGTTGCCACTGCTGTAAGTTTTTAATCTAGTTCCACATATTAGGAAAACTTTGTTATTGGTATTTTGAATCAATTTTTAGTTGTTAACCTTTTATTAGATTTTTTTAGTCATTTTCAGCAACAGTGATCCCCTTTCATGCTGATCCAATCAAATGAGCCGATGGAAACATGAGCTATTTGGAAGTATTAGCACAGGGACAGCCATACCGATGGATGCAGAGAAAAAAAATTACTAACTTCATGCTAAGCTTTAGCCATAATAATCAGAGAATGATACTTCATAGGACAATATTGCTGACATTCTTGTTTAAAAAGCATACAAGGAACTCCGACCACAGGACAATGCATATTAGATCACTGCATGTTTGCAGGACGGAAGCCAAGCTATAAGCATGTAACAAAAGAGGTGCAGGAGAAAGGATTCTGTTTTGCTGGGAAATTTTAAAAAGCAGAAGAGTAGCACAAAGGAAATACCTTAAGATCTCGCCTTTCCAGATGCAAAAGTTCAGCCCCTCTGATGTCATGACGGATGAAGATTTCTTTGTACTCTCCCAAATTGAGCAGATCCAGCCAAGCAGCAACTTCCTCTGTGCCCCATTTTTGAACTACCAAAGTTAAGAGCAAAACCCCCTTAATTTCTACATGCTCAATGCATTACAAAGCAAAGGTTGGCCAAAGAAGATGCAAAACAGAGTACAGCGGCAGTGCTAGCAAAGGGAAAGGTTAAAGGTGTTGTTTTGACAAAACTCCAATTTCGCTTTTTCCCCCATGCAGGTTACAGACTCTCAATCAACACAGAGATCTGACTATGCAGGGACGTTCACTGCTGTGCACCCGTACCTTCAGCTTTAGCTCCATTTCCTCTCCAAGCCGCCCAAACTACACAATCTAAATAGTCCAAGATCGAAATAAGCTCTGATGATTTCCTTAAGACCATATATGAAACTAGTTCTAACTGAATTAGCTACAAGTGCTGATGAAAATTGAAAATCTGACATGGGCTTCTGAATATTACACAGACGTCGGCTCCAGGTCTGGCTGAATTCAAGGGATGCCTTTATTGATTCTGTTACGATTCGTAATTATAATTATTGACAATGATAGTACTAAATGTGTTGTTAGCTCACCTTCATGTCTTCTGGAAACTGTCAGGACTGCTAAGATGAGTTGGACCGTTACTTTTCAATATGTATCATCAGTGTTTTATACAATTTATTCGCCATTGATTAGCTTAATTCAAATTTATTTATTTGCTATATTTGGTTTTAAAATGCCCTTCAGTGGCTGCTCTACAATTGTCAAAAATCAGGTCATATATCACTTTTTAAAAGGAGACAGCTCACTTGGAAGGATTATAAAATGATTTGATCGCACCTATTGCCATCTACACAGAACTTGGAAGGTGCCTCAGCACCACTGCAGCATTAAAATTAATTCCTAGGGGAAGGGGGAAAGGGAACCAGACCAACAACACCACAGACAGTTTAATCTTCGCTTGAGAATGCAAGTGTCCCTGGGGGCTGTCACGACTGAAGAGCTGAAATGGTGTAGGAAGTCCTTGAAACAGGAGAAAGACAATGCGTAACTTTAGGTGGAAAAATCAATTATTTAGCAAGTTAAAGGAGCAAATGGAAGTTTCAACATGCCATTCATCAAAATGAGCTAGATTTTGAACTTTGAAGGAGAAAAACAAGTTACACACCACCGATGCCTTGAATTGTTGTTACGCAGGACACAGGACCATCCTAAACAGACGCACTGACGTCCGCTGAACAGAACAGAAGCACATCAGCGACCACCTCGTTTTCTTGTGTGCTTTGTTGCTAAAGACTCCTACTGGTTGGGGGACTTACTTTAGGTGTGATATGATTTGCTTTATTGTGGTAAAATGAACATAAAATAAAATCCACCATTTTAACCATTCTATGGTGTTTAGTAAATAATTCCAGAACATTTTTACCGCCTAGATGACATCACTTTAATGAGTCATCTTTTCCACAGGGTTTTACTTTCCCTTCCAGTGCAGATCACCTACCAGGCTGTGAACTTGTCTTCTGCTTCTGAACCTTTTCCTTTTTAAATTTTGGCACGATACGAAAGACTGTGCTTCTGCTGTTTCTCTTGGTGCAATCCATGGGGGGCTCCTGTTCGAGTGGGGCAAGAAAAGGAATTTGCTCAGGACGTTAGGAGAAGAAAAACTCACCCCGATCTTAAAGCCAACACAGGAACAGGTTATAAGCACAACAAACCGTTGAAGCCGTGGCTTGTTAAAAATTAAAGTGCATGAATCTATGTACTCCTTGAAAATGTACTGATTCCCGTGAGGTACCTTTGTTCACAGAAAAGCCTTTGCTCGCTTGTTCAAGAGCAGCACATTTGAAAGTGGTATTCAAAATGCATTCTCCCTTGAATATCTCTTGTTCAAATTTGATTGTCATAACGTCTGCATTTATAAAGAAACAGGCCACATTTCACATACCGCATCTTCGTTTGGGTGTAAGATATAATAAAGCCAAGGGATCTCCGTTAACTTCTGCAGCTCCACCTCCACAGAATGTAAGGCATTAGATACGCGTTCCTCGTGCGGGGATTCTAACTGCTATTCACCAGCAAATTTTAAAACACAAAATGAAACAAGGCTCAGTGACCAATCTCAAACAGGAGAAATTCATTTTATTTTGACAATGAACATCCTCATCTCTTATTAGGCAAGGCTAGGTTACTGTTGTTGGTAAGATACAGGAATATAGGAAAAAAAGAAAAGATTATTTTCTATTGAGCTTATTTAAAAAAAAAGAAACACCTGGAGAGATTTATCCGTACTTCCCAAAGATAATATAAGGAGCTAGTGTGACTTTAATAATGTCACAGAAAAAAAGTATCACTTTTGGTGGTTTTCTTTCTCTTTCTTTTCTCTTTCTTTCTTCCTTTCTCACTTTTTTTTTTTTTATAAATTCTTTCCTCTCTCCCTCCCTTCCAATCCATGCGTCCATCCACCCAGTCTGCCTGCTTGCTAGTAAGTAATCTCACTATTCTACTTCTGTGGCAAAAATCCTTCCGATTTCCATGGGCCGCTATGTAAGCAAATAATACTATTTTAAAAATTGGTCAAAAACATGTCACATCATAAGAACTGCTTGGCACAGAAATCTCCTGGAGAATTAAAATAATAAGTTTAAGGGGGAAAAAAACCCCACGAACCTCAGAAAAATTTGTGACGAAAAGCTGTTGTAAAAATCAGGGCAAAAGCAAAATGCTGAATGGTTTGAAATCTGGAAGAGGGTTTGGAAACTTTAAGGAGAATTTAACCGGTCACTTATTATCCACTCATTTGAGGCAGCTATTAAAAAGCACTTAGAAATTCAATAGTAAAGGTGAAATAAACACTGTTACATGTAGAACAGGAAGGGAGGCGACTGCCTTCTGGTCCTGGCTTTGTTACTAACTATGCAACCAAGGGAAGGCTGACTGATGGTAGGAGTCTTAGTTTCTTCCTTAATAAATAGTAGAAAGTGACCAGATTATTTCTAAGGTCTATTCCAGAGAAATCAATCCTTTCATAAATTACTTTAAGATTGTAAAGGATCTATATACAGGTTTGCAGAATTTTGAACTGAAAGTTCAGCGAAATTGTTCCTGTTATTTATTATGGTGTTGTTTTTCTCCTTGGTTATTCAAGGTATTTACCATTTCTAGTAGTTAATAAAAATATGGAGATTCTCCACCTTGTCATGTAAAATTTACTACTTTCCTTTGAGTCTAAGAATATACGTCTTATAAAATTGATAAAATGGTATTGCATATTCATTCTAGAAGCAAAATAAAGTGTAAGCCTTAGTTGATCTCGAATATGACTGACACTTGCATTTTGACATCAATATGGTCAAAGGTTTTGAAAAAATTCAGTGGTATACATTTTAAACCATACACCCATTTTAGACAATGACAGAAGTAGATCGAAATGATTAAGAGTCTGTGTGGGTTGTTCTATATGAACATAATATAATTGATAAATACTAACCAACTAACACTCAATGGGTGCTTTCAGCGTAGAGAGCTAAAATACAGAACAAGTTATGCTTCTAGTTGTCAGTCAGGAGTTATCTTTTGTATTTCAAATAAGACAAAAAATACATGTCCTTCACATAAAAATTGGGACCAAAGCCACAGCTCACTGGATTTCACTGGACTAATTTTAGAAGAGCAACAAGAAGACTCTAGTTAATAACAAAAGTGCCAAGAATCGGCAAAATGTTCCATTGGTTTTATCAAAAAAAGGTAATCAATGTGTCTTCCTAAAAGTTTTTCTTCAGGGCCATAGCATAGGCAGCCACATCCTGCCCCAAGGAAGTTGTACTTCAGCTTCCTCTGGAGATGGGTAAGAGCCACGGATGTCATTCATCCTTGAAGCTTCTCTTCACAGAGTAAAAGATGCTCCACGGATGGTACGCTTCCGGATCCCAATGAAACAGAAACTCCAAGCACAGTCACTTTGTGAGCTAGACTGTGACACACCTCCCATTTTCCCACTATGCCAGATACTATGACTTTTACTACCACTTTATTTTCCAAAGCAAGAAATAAAATTAGAGTCAAGAGGAATGTTGTAAGATCATCACGGATCAGTGACAAGGAAGAATCGTGACAAGGAAGAAAAAATAGCTAATGCATCATAATGCATCAGGCTTTTTACACAGTTATAGCAGCGTGTGTGAATAATCCACAATCGAACACTAGATGGCGAGAAGACCCAATATTCTAGAACGTTTGAAACTGGTGAGAATAAAAGGCTGACAAGGCAGACTCCAGGCAAACCAAACAGGACATCTGTGGACTTCTAGCACTTGAGGTCCACTGACTGTGGTCAAATTCAGGCCTGCCCGAAACTTCATTTCCAGCACCAATCTGAGTTAATCTAGAGATAGGGCTAGCTCTTGAATTTAGTTCTTGAAACATCGAGTCTAGAAAGTACTACCCTTTAAGCGAATCTAAAAACCATACCAATCATATTTCAAATGTTAATTTCAGGAACAAAACCGATGATTTCCTCTACCTCTCTGCAATTAGGAAGTAATGAGCTCCTGAGGAATGCCTGCTATACTTCATAAGGCTCAAGTCTCTCAAAGCTGACTGAGGATAACAGTACTGCATAAAAACCTGATGGCATCTATGAGGGGAAACCTCTACTCCTGTTAGCCCGCACCATATCTCCCCGGTATAGCCATGCATTTTCTCGAAGGCAAAAGCCAGGTAAAAGGGAAGCCCTAAGGATGGAGGCCAGGAGGCTGCTTCTGCATTAGAATCTGATGAATGAATGCATGCTCCCTAATAAAGCTGAGGCCCACACATGGATCATCATTCTTGTGTTACCAGGCATCTCTTCCTTACCAAAGGAACCCTGCCCACTAGTAAAGATTCTGTTTCATTATATAGTGCCTTCACATTGATGGCTATTTCAGTGGCAGTGTCTCTCGTAAGACTCTAGAAAAAAAAAACAACACATCAAAGACAAGTAGTTCTGTATTAAGTTGGGATTCAATCATCAGCAAATACTTTACATTTTATTCTTCCCATAAATTCACATCACACATATTTTTACAACTCCACCCCAATTCCTATTATAATTGAACAATTTCACACCCATGCCCTGACTATAGTCACACACTTAAGGACATCTCCTGCATACAAACATGTGGATGCTTGCAACAACATATACATGTTCCCATAAAACAGTTCAGTCAAAGAAAATTATGCCTTATCAGATAATGGGGCATTATCAGATCATAATCAGTTCTATCCACTGACTTTCACTCCCAGAAGTTCCAACCAGGCTGTTTTTTAGACTTTCACCTTGAGGAAGCAGCACTTATCTATCAATTTAGGTAACTTCCACTGAATAATTAAAAGAATGAAATAATGCTATCAGTTTTCTCTACGCTACAGCCTTGTACTATGTATCACATTTCAAGAGACCTGTATCCTTTCCCTTCTTTTTTTAACACTTATATTAAAAAAATTATAGATGTTACAAAATTGCAGCATCTACATTAAAAAGTTTACCCACTTTACCAGTTTTGTAGAACAAAATGAAGTGAGAATAACTTCTGTACACAGCTTTGACATTGAACATTTCTAATAAAATGCACGGCATGTAGTTTGCCCTACATCAAGGTGCAGGAGAGAAGGTGAAACAAGAACAAGAAGGGATGGTGGTAGCTTAAAGGAGAAGGAGTGCAAGGAAGATGGCACGGCGACCAGTGACTGAAAGAGAAATGGGGAAAAAATGAAGAGATTTTAAAGGAATGGAATGGAATGGAAAAAGGGCAGGAAAAGAAAAATGAAAATGTGACCACTAATTCATCATAAGCTTCTGGCAGGCACTCCTACAGACTGTCTAATGCTGTTTCAAAGGGCATGGCACATATTATAGCATTGAAATATATGTGTAATACATAACAGTCTGTGGAATGAGAATTTACCATTAGCTCCTCACCTCTGGGAAGCGTGGGTTGGCTTTATTCAGTGCGTGGGAGCATGCATTCACAGCATGGGCCAGTTCTTGCTCCAAGAGACAATGGATCGTGGCTGCATCACAGATCCTGAAAGCAAAAATGGGGCAGGTGAACAAAAAAAATTTGAGCATCGCTGATTTTTCTGAAGTGAGAAATGGTAGAATCAGACAGGTCAAAAAAAAAGATTAGGGGATATTTTTAAATGAGTTCAACTCAATTGTGAATAACAAAGGGTAGATTTACAAAATTCAAACCCCACTGTAACAAAGAATGAGAAACCAAAAATCTTTATAGGAAAAGTTAGGCTTAGAATCATGGATAAACACAGTGAGGTACTATTTGGAAGAACAAAATATAGTAACACTTCATTTTAAAGTATCATTGGCAAGTGAGATGGGGCCCAAATGTAGAGAGCAGAAACTTAATCTTTTATTCATTGAAACTTCAATCAGGAACAAATAGAGTAGGAGAAGAACATTGCCATCTTTAGCATCTATACACTAAGTGCTTTACATACATTATCTAATTTAATATTCACAACTTAAAAGGTAACGGTGATTAATTTTCTCCACTTTATAGACGAAGACCGGGAGGGCTGGAGAGATTCGGTAAGTATACAAAACTAGTAAGTAATAGAGCCAGGATTTGAATCTATGTCTATCAGCTCCAAAGTCTGTTGTGCCACAGTCCTCTGGAATCTAAACATTTAAGAATATCCTGAACAAACAGGATCCTGGAGGGCACTAAAGGCCAAAGAAGAAAAAAGAGGAAAAGTTCCACCAATTGCTAGAAGATGATGTAAAATTTGTGGATGAGCAAGAAGGCAAAACTATGCAAATCCTTTTTTGCTTCTGACATCTACAAGGAGAATGATCTTCACACTAGAAAGGGTAAAACAAGAAAAGAGACTAGGGCTGTACTGTTGAATGAAGAGTAAAGGAAGAGAGCTTAATTCTTAAAGATCATACAATTGATATCCAAGCCACAAAGGAATTTGCAAATGTCATCTCAATATTTCTACAAATAACCTTGAGAAATCATGAAGAATGGGTTATTTATCAGAAGAACAGAGGTGGGTAAATGTTATTCTAATTTTCAAAAAGAGGAAAAGAAATCAATTTCAGATCAATATTTCCAATTGCCTACTAAAATTTCCTCCCAGATATTTCTTTCTTTTTTTTAAAGATGTATTTATTTATTTGAGAGAAAGAGAGAGCATGTGAGCATGAAGGGGGGGGTTGCAGAGGCGGACTCCTGGCTGAGTGCAGAGCCTGATATGGGGCTCTATCTCACCACCCTGAAATCATGATGTGAACCGAAACCGAGAGTCGGATGCTTAACTGACTGAGCCACCCAGGCACCCCTCCTCCTAGATATTTCTAATGTAGTTTAAATTCTGGAAGTCCAACACGGACCCTGTCATTTTCCCTCTCAAACCTACTTTCCCTCCTGAATCCTATGGTTCCATCAAAGGTTCCACAATCCATCCAGCCATTCACTAGAACCTGAGGGTCGTCCTGTCTCCTAATTCAGGCCATTCAGCAATTTTAGATAATAATCAATCTTAAGTCTCTCTTCTTCTCTCCATCTCTCCTACCTCAATCGGTTGTTCCCTATCAGGACCAGTCCAAGAATGTTCACCCTAACCTTGCTTTGCTGTCTTGCAAACAATGCTACACATTGCTTCCAGAAATGTCCTGGTAGGACCTGGCCCCTCTTCCCTTCTCCATCCACATTTCCTACTCTCTCACATATACCATGCCATCCCCAGTTCCCTGAGATTCCCTAAAAGTACTATTCACTCACACTCCTCCGGGCCTCTGCCCAGGCTTCTTCCCATGTTTAGAATGTTCCTTCCCTTACTCCCCCATCAAGACTTGGCTGAGAGATCACCTTTTCCAGGCAGCCCTCCCTTACTTTCTTGGCCTCCTGCGTGTACCCACAGCACCCCACTGAGCCCTGTGATAGCACTCTGGCCACACTTTTCCCTTCTGCTATCCTCCAGTAAATTAAGGAAAGGGACCACAACCCAGCCATTTTGGCATCCCCACTGCTTAATATGGTGGTTGGCATGCAGAAAAGACTCAGAATTATTTGTTGACTACTGAATGAATAAATTCTGAAAATAGATGAGTGAGCCTGATTTTCATCTTTTGCAAAATTTAAAAAAACACATATGGGGAACCAAATTAGGTTGACCAAAAGCAAGTCTGGCCAGCCTTCACTTCCCTTTTTTTGGTAAGGTTATTTGGTTAGTTGACAGGAAGTTAATTTAGGAAGTATATTTGATTTCAAGGGAGATAATACAGAAAGTATATTTTGGTTTCAAGAAAATGCTGTTCTATTTTTAATTCTCTGAAAAACCTCCATACTATTTTCCATAATTTGTTAATTAGCTTGATTATGGTCATTGTTTTACAACGTGTACATATATCAAATTATCATGTGTACACCTTGTACATATATTTAAGTGATTTTATTTGTCAATTATTCCTCAATAAAGGTGGAAAAGAAGCAAAAAAAAAAAAAACAGAAGTTGTTTATAGTACCCTAAAATGAATCTCTCTGTGGATAAGTTCTTGTACTTAGCTAACTACTCATTTTCTCTTACCTTGCTTCTAAGCTTCTCTGTATCTTGCAGTTATCATACGTTATTCTAATTCTGAATGTTGGCCTCCAGCTGTAGGGAGTTCATATCTTTTCTCTTACATCTCTAACATCTAGTACATTCTAGGTTTCCAAAAATATTTAAAGAGCATTGTTTTCCTTCTTTTCTTTTTCCAACATTTTTATCAGTGACCACATGAAGGTGTGGTAGGAATAGCTACCATTCACAGAAGACTAAATATGCCAGACGTGATGTGCTAATAAGTTTCTTACATGGTGGGTCTCATTTAGCCTTCACAATGACCTACAGAGTTATCTCTTATTATCTCCATTTGGTAGAGAAGATTTAGGTGAAGAGGGGATAAGAAACTTGTCCATGGTTGTCCTCCCTTCCCCCAACAAAGTTTACTCCTGGTCATAGTGATTTCTATCTGTTTCACACTCCCAGAACTTGTGTTTTCATCTCTTCCCTTTCTGTCTACTAAAATGATTTCCTATATGGTTTCCCAATCTCTGGATATGTCTTTGGAAACTGATTCTCAGACTTTTCCCACCCAAATTTCCTTGGGAGCAGGGTTAATATTTATATTTCCTTCTACATTCCAGAAGAATTTAATTAATAATTATAAGGTAACATATACACAAGTAGTAGAGTGTAAAGACTGTGTAGAACTGGGGAAATAAGCAATAACAGAAAGAGCACCCTGTGGTAGGGTGTTAGGCAAGCTCTCCACTGTGTTTCAGGAAGTCCAAGGTCTGTTCTGCAGAGAACACAGGTGTGTGTGTGTGCGTGTGTGTGTGTGTGTGTGTGTGTGTGTGTGTTGGAAAGGGTTTAACTGAGGCATAAATGAGGCAACAAATGAGGAAGGAAAGTAAATGCATCTCTTTTAGATACCCCCAAACAACTGACATTATGTATCAAAACTAAAAAACAAAATTGGCCAAGACCAGAGTTCTCCTCCCCTAAAGCAAGCAGGGCCACCATACCTAGTAATGAGCTCCTCTGCAGCCTGGGAGCATAACTGCATTTGGGACACCTCTTCTGTTGCCAAGTCAACGGCATGCTGGATGTACAAATGGGTTCGAAGAACTGGTTTACCAGAATCACACTTCTGTTTATCTTCCCAAGATTTCAGAGTGCTTTCAAAAGCCTATTTAACATCAATATTGCAAGGAATTGTTAGTTTGGAACTCTGAGACCCACATAAGAGAGCATTTAAATGTTACATGAGTGACTTTGAAACAATTGCTTTTTTCCTAATCTGAAGCTTCATTAAAGAAATCATAAGATACAAAAAAGCTATTTTAAAGTTTTCCAGTGTTATCATAACACGTAAGTAATGTAATCAGTGATGAGGAGTGAATCACTGAAAAGTTTTTAAAAAGACAGCTTCAATCTGTACTTTAAATGCATCATAGACAAGATGGGTATTGGCAGTCTTGTTTGTTGTAAGTGTGACCTTAATTAAAACATATTCTGGAAAAGGCAAAACTATGGAGACAGGGGTTGAGGTAAGAGAGGGAGTGATGGATAGATGGAGCACAAGGAACTTTTACGGTAGTGAAACTATCCTGTATGATGCTATAATGGTGGATATAAGTGATTAGATATTTCTAAAAAAACATAAAATGTACAACATGAAGAGTAAACTACGACCTTTAATTAATAATTATCAATATTGGCTCATCAACTATAATAAATGTACCACAGTAATACAAGATGTTAATAATAAGGGACTGTATGTCAGTGAGGTATGGAGGTATGTGGAAATAGAATTAGAATTCTCTGTATTTTCTACTCAATTTCTCTGTAAACATAAAAAAATAATAAAAATATAGTCTATTAAGTTTTTTTTTTCTTTTTAGAGAGATGGGCGCACTATGAGCCAGGGTAGGGGAAGGGGGAGAGGTAGAGAAAGAGAGAGAATCCCAAGCAGGCTCCATGCTCCGTGTGGACCCCTATGCAGGCCTCGGATCTCACAACCTTGAGATCATGACCTGAGCAGAAATCAAAGAGTTGGCACTTAACCGAGTGAGCCACCCAGGTGCCCGTAGTCTATTAACTTTTTAAAAAACTAAATACTTGTTCATATTTAAAACCACAAGGACCTAAATGTCAGATTTAAGAGACAATTTAAATATCTTTCCTTGGTTTCTATTTTTCATAACAAATGAATTTTTTTTTAAAGTAGGCTCCACCCCCAGCAGGGCTTGAACTCACCACTCTGAGAAAAACACCTGAGCTGAGATCAAGAGTTAGACACTTAACCGACCGAGCCACCCAGGTGCCCCCACAATAGTTTAATGTTTTTAAAAGGCTTGATAAAAATCTAGAAGATTTTTTTTTTTTTTACATACCCTGTCCCTTGTTAGCATCTGAGCTCTGTTTTTGTGCACAATTTTGATAATTCCTGGAGGCTGAACCCATGCTTCACCATCCACCTGCACTGGGACTCCCTCATCGCCAAATATAGTGATTTTTACTGTACGGCACTGAAATAAAACAAGTCATTTTAGAGAACAAATCGTCCCGAGAAACTGACAATCTGCGTTCAAGCCTGACTTTTAGTGCATTCGGTGGAATGGAATGCATCTTTTTCCACTTGTCATGACACAGTAACAACTGACATGACAAGAAAGTTAACATTTTTTTTTTAAAGATTTTATTTATTTATTTGACAGAGAGATAGAGAGAGAGCACAAGTAGGCAGAGCGGCAGGCAGAGGGAGAGGGAGAAGCAGGTTCCCCGCTGAACAGGGAGCCCGATGCGGGGCTCGATCCCAGGACTCTGGGATCATGAGCCGAGCCGAAGGCAGTCGCTTAACTGACTGAGCCACCCAGGCGCCCCGAAAGTTAACATTTTTAGATGAATAGACAGCATAGGAGTCCTTTGGAATAGCTTCCCCAGTGGCCCAAGTCGTGAGGTCAGGTTTGATCAGAGAAAACAAACCTGGGCTATTCGATGATGCTGCAGTTTAATGACCCTTGAAACTGCCATTTGCATGCTATCAAATATTGCAACAACTTCCAGGATCTTGTCATCAAATGATGGTGCAGCAAATATCTGAAAGGAAAAACTACATTACATTTCCCCTGATGAGGTTAAGGTTTAGATCAAGTGGCACATCAGCAATGTAAACTTTGCAATATACATATTAAAAAAAACTTAGGAAAATAGTAAACAGAAAAGTAAGTAAATGTTATTAGGAAATGATAACCCAAAGACAAAAAGAAAAACCCACTGAAGATGATTTAATGTAAACAAACTTAATAAAAAAAGTTTAAAACCCACATGGATAAAATGCTAATGTCTCTCATAAAGCACTCTTTGAATCAGTGAATTACTATATTGCTAAATAATCCATCTTGGTATAAAATGTGTTAAATTCTGTTCACACATAACTTTGATGTCTTGATAAAATGGTGCATGTGATTTTAGGAAACCTAAAATACCCAGTTCCCACATCTTTCAATGTGTTACAAGCAATATGTATGTATAATGTGCTTTACATCTTAATACAACAACTTTTTAGGGCATTTGAGACGGCAATAGACACCTCGGAGAATAAAAATCATGCAGGATTACTTTAAATGCATTTTCACAAAATTAATTTAATCAAACAAATTAAATTCTGGCTGTATTGCTTTGTTCCTTTTATTCTCTCTTTGACTATATGACAAACAATTATGCCTCTGAAAAAAATTATTCAGCATCAAATAATATCCTAATTAAAACTTTCATTGAAAATATCAGGATGTGAATTTGCAAACACTGATGATTTCTTATCATTTTTGTTAGCAGAATACGTGGTTTTAAATCCTGTCTCTGCTACTTCCTGTGTGAACTTAGTCTCAGTTTCTTCATTGGTCAAATTTAGATAAAAATTGTCGTTCCTCTGTAAAACAGTATGGAGGTTCCTCAAACAGTTGAAAATAGAGCTACCATACGATCCAGCAATTGCACTACTGGGTATATACCACAAAGATACAAATGTAGGGATCCGAAGGGGTACGTGCACCCCAATGTTTATAGCAGCAATGTCCACTATAGCCAAACTGTGGAAAGAGCCAAGATGTCCATCGACAGATGAATGGATAAAGAAGAGGTGGTATATATACCCAATGGAATATTATGCAGCCATCAAAAGGAATGAGATCTTGCCATTTGCAACGACGTGGATGGAACTGGAGGGTGTTATGCTGAGTGAAATAAGTCAATCAGAGAAAGACATGTATCATATGACCTCACTGATATGAGGAATTCTTAATCTCAGGAAACAAAGTGAGGGTTGCTGGAG